CCTATAGCATTCTATGTATATAAAATCTTTGAGACACTTTATAATATTCATTATTTCATATGCTACACATTTATATGTATACTGCAACTAATGATAGTTGCCTGTCCTGATTAGAGGATGACTGTTGGCCTCTTTGTATTGACCTGCATTCTTAAGCACTGAATCCTGCAGTGACAAAGTAATAGCCATTGAGAAAGCTGTAAGAATTAATCAGTGTTGCTTGAAATTTTGTGTACTTTATTGCATTTTACCTTTAGAATCTAAATAAAAGGCTTTGTTCTTGGAAAAATGAATAACTTGGGAGTACTGAAGACACCCGTATCCCTGTCTAGCTTCATCCTCAAGTTGTTTATATGTAATTGGATTTTAGTATTTAGTTAGACGTATAGTATTGGATCTTGGGATGTGAAAAGGACAATAACACATGTAAAGCCTCCAATAAAAAGCAAAACAGGACAAAGTCCCATCCCAAATGGCTGCCAAGGTTAAAGTCATCATAATCTGGCAGAACAAAATTGTTTAAACTCATCTCAACCTGACCCAGAAGGGAGCCAATCTAGTACTACAATCAAGACATTATGACAGAACAATCTAGCTGGCCTGTGTGAGGGGATAAATAGCAGAGCTTTCTGACGAAGTGTATCACATATAAATAATACTCTGTCATGGCAGTGATAACTGATACAATGTGAATTTTATTACATTAAATGTAAATATATGCCTTCTGGAATTTGTTCACACAATATACCTCTGAATGTTCACTTTCAATTCATTTATATTTTTTTAACAAAATAAAGTGAGGAAAAAATAAACATGCAGATAGAAAAGACCTACTAATGGGTTTAAAATGTAAGCATACTTTTTACTGTTAATCTAAAGTATTTCTCAGAAATATTGTTAGAAAAAAAAATTAAAAATCTTCCAAATGCCATGACAATCATACGAATGAGAAAACTATACTTCCACTGTTTTTTAGTGGACTGTGAATTGGGATGCACTGAACTATTCCATTATAAATCTATTACAAGTAGAAATAATAAAAACAAAAAAGAACAATCCCTGGGAATTTCCTAACCATTTTAACGCTTTTATCTTAGTATGAGAACAACAAATACACAGCTATTTCAGGAATATTAATGGAACAATATCGACACTGGATTTGATTATGATCAATTTTAAATTAACTAAACAGAAGTTAAATTACTTATAGTGCAGCCTCATGCATGTTTACTTAGATGTAAAGTATGATTTATAACTGCTAGGAAGATAAATCAATTGATGAAATTTGGGCTAGTTTGTTCTAAAGATATACAAAAACTTCTAAGGTTTAAGAGATCAAATTTATAGCTGATGTATTCTAACATTTATTGAGGAGAACCTGAGACTGTGGCTCCTGCAGATATTGACAACGAAGTACCGAAATGAAACAATTGCAAGCATTAAATAAGACATACTTTTTCTTCTTAAATGCACACAATTCACATTGATTCGTTTTGGAACGATTTAATTTTTTAATGTTTTTTTAAATTTCAGTAGCCAAGAAAATTATAAGACAAGGATAATTGTAAATGCTTAACACGATCTGCCATCAATTTCTGTCATGCAGCTACATGAGCAAATGCCGCATGTAGAAAGAAAGAAGAGATATACTGTAGCAAGACATTTTATAATTCTAATTCATTTCACCACTCGCAAACTGGCAAAGTTATGAGGGCAGAAATGCAGCTCAGTTTGACTTCACAGAGTGTGGAATAAACTGTACCGGAGGAATGAAGTCTTGCCAGTGTAAAGGAACAATAGTTCTTCTAATCCTACTGAATTTCTCATGAATTTTATTTTTTAAAATGTCCCTGATCTATTACACTCAAAGAGTTGAAGTCCTCTGATTCATTCTTACACTTTCATTGGCACTTTTAGGTTAATTTCTTTCCTTGTAAACTTTTGGGGACAAACTGCTCACTTTTATTTTTACCTTTCTAGTCTGCCTTTAACTTGTTTTACTGGGCATCAACTCTAGTTGGATGACCAGGGAATACTAAAGCCCCACTAGTCTGTTGTGCATGGATTGCACTGTGTATTCTCCAAGAAGAATTTGCAATCTGATCGAGATACTGTACTTTCATTTTCTTCAGCAAACTTGCTAACTCTCACAAGATACAAGCAACTGCTGAAACTGATTAAAGTTCTATCGCTGGCTTTAATGAAGGCAGGACTGCATTTAAGAGGAAAAAATTCTACTATGCTTTTAAGACTAAGTACTTCCTCTGTGAACAGTACTAAATCATGCCGATGTACTTCATTTAATGTTCTTGAAATTTTATTATGCAGTGATTTCATATGATTACAGTAGTTATATATGTATATGTATGTGCATATGTATAAGCATATTTGTATAAATATTGTTCCCAGGAATTTTAGATACCAACGCTTTTCATAGGATAACATATTTCATTTTTAAAAATGATAGGCTTATTCTCATACCATCATTCTGAGCAAAACATTCTCCTACACAAGAGATGCAGTATGTTGCATCAATAATGGGTCAAGTTTTTATTTTAATCTTTAAAGACAGTAAAAGCAGGAAAGTGTTCAGGATAGCTACTTTAAATCAATTCATTAGAATAGGGCAGGAAGAGCTTTTCAAAAGAGTTAAAATGTGAATATAGCAGTGAAATAGTGCCTTCTACAGGACACTGAGCTTAAAAGTACTTGCTGAAATCAAATTCATACTAACATAAAGCTACGAAATCATGGAAGTAGGTTTTATCGGTAGATTTACACCAGTAAATTTACATAGGAAATTATTTCTTAGTGTAATTTATCTATAAAAATATCCAGTTTGCATCCAGATGCATACAAGTTTCTTTTGTTACCTTAAGATAGGGACTGGATTGATCAGTTTAAAAAGAGTGCAGCAGCCATTTTTGTCAGATGTGGAAGAAAAGGTATTTCTATGTTCAAGGAAGCTTAAAATATTGATTCCTACAAAATATAAGGAACAAAATTATGTACGCTTTAGCATGACTTGAGGTTAGGAAGACAGGTTAATATGCTTGCCTTGTGAGTCAATACAGTCAGGAGTTTCACATATGGATCAGAAAAATAGAGGGTTCCAGACTATGAGTCAGTGGTGTCCATCTGTTCCTGGAATAGCATTTGTCAAGGGAACAGATTATTATAATTTTTTTTTTATCCTGCATCTTACCCACAAACTTCCCCAATTGGCCTCAGAAAGTTGGGAGGACCTTGAAGCAAATTCGGGAAGTACGCAGGACACACAGAGAGGAGTAGCAGATGTCTATTAGCATAATGTTGGATGTAACTCATAGTCTTCTTGTCTTCAAACAGCACTAGCAGCACTACTCTATTACCATAGCAGCGGCTGTGAATTTAGAAACATTTTCTCATATTAAAAAAGGTTAGCAATACCAAATTCTTCCTTAGGAAAAAAAAATGCAGTTAAACAAAAAACACCAGTCAACACCAACTGAACAAAAATAAAACATTAACCATTTGCAGTCTAATTTTGTGCAAAGCTAGCACTGGCTAGTTTAAACATGCATTTTATCTAATTCTGTCCAAGATTAGTTGGTTAATTGTAGGCATGAAGCTTCATCAACTACTAGAGGGACAGAATGTTCTGAAATTAAGGAAAGACCAGATTAGTTCATAGCATTTGCCCGCTCCTTTCCTATATTAGCATCCCCAATAGATTGTGTTGCTAGTTTCATTTAACAAAGTTGCTACTTGCCTGCATTCAGTTGAAGTGCTTTTAAAACAAATAATATGTTTTCTGAATGATCCCATATGTGCATGGGGAGCTCTGTTCAGCTTGACACTGTTCCTCCCACATGCAAATACTGTCTATGGATCCTTTTTAAGCCTCATGATCCTAGGACTCATAAAAAGAGCCCGCAATAAAATAGTGCCTATAAAAAGGTTCAAAATGGAAAAGCTTGGTTCTGCTCGTAGAGTTAGGCTTGTGTGTGTAAAACCAATTTATGATTAACTGCTCTTGATGTCTTTTTTACTTGGAATTGACAGAACTCTGATAATAATCTCCTTCAAAATGTTTAAATATTGGCTTGCCGCACTCAATGCCACTGCCAAATTAGTTGAATGAGCTGAAAGATGAACACAGTCACTTTGAAAATAATATACTTATGGTGTAGTTGTTTTTTGGCGATCTGGCTTAGATCATAGCCCACTCACATTAGGTTCTGCACAAAAACAGGCTGGAAGAAATGTTGCCAAAAGAAGCTGCCCACAGGAAGGAGAAAATAACTGGAAAAGAACTCAAAAACTTTACTGCCCATAGAGTTGGATACTGGTTACAGGACATTGAATGGCCAGTTGTGCTGGAATGTTGTGCAGAAATGACATTATTGCCAATTTGCATCAGGGATAGTGCATTTTATTAATTAAAAAGGAAAAGTTGTGATGTGACATGACTTTGGCACGTGAAACCAACATACCTTAATTTCTCAGTTACTCATTCTTTTGTGCCTTGCACTTCCGGTATTCCTCCCACAACATCTATGTGAGAGTTATGCTCTTTGAAGCGCTCCTGAGAATCCATCTTTCTTTTGAAGCTTTTGTGACTTTAAAAAAAAAACTTCTCCTTCCATTGGCTATCTGCTTCTCTGTTGTATCTTCTGATTTGCTTTGTTGGTAGATGATGTGCCCTTCAGTTACTTCATATTATCTATCCTAAAGTGAACAACATTCAACTGGTGCAAAAATGTGAAAATGAAGTGCTATCCGTTTGATAAGGTTTAACACTAGAATGAATGTCCAAGTGCTTGCTTGCATTTGGATCCTTTTATAAACAGGACATTCTGGGAGCTGTAATTCAGACAGTCGAAGGCACTAGTTAATGCAAATATGGCAACATCTTACAGTCAAATTCCAACTAAATGGCATAAGGGTTCTCCCAGCCAATGTCTGAATATCAGCAAATAAGTACTTTGTAAAAGAGTAATAGAAGTGATGCCTGTAGTTTAATCTAATTTTTCTTGATCAAGATTTGTAGACCACATTACAAGACCTTCTACTTCCTCTTCCCATTGATCTTCATCTTTGCTTTTGTCTTTCTTCTTAAGTCTCACAGGAGTTTTTTGAGATACAGATGCTTCCAGGTTGTAGGAGTAATACAAAATGGAAAAAAAAGTGAATACATGAACTATACTAGCAACACAATCATATTCTGAAACTTTGTGAGAAAAAAGACACACAACACATTAAATTATTTGTGTAACTATAAATGCATATGTGGGTGTGAGAGATGCCATTTTGTAGCATGTGCAAAATTTGTCCTGTAGAGAACTAAGATTGTATGTTAACATCCATAGCCAAGTGCAATTATTCTAAAGCAGGGATGAATAACCAATAGTTCAGAGATCATGTGTGTCCCCCAACTCTACTTCTAAACGTTCCCAAGACCCCATCATCACACTGAAATCTGATAACAAAATGGCAAGTTTTGGTGACAGAATATGTTGCTTTTTAAACAAAATAACTCGCCAAATAAATACATTGGTAGGCATAATGCCTCTATTTGGTATTAATAAAATAAAATAAAACTATACCCCAAATCCCAACAGTTCCTCCAAAGTGGGATTAAAACTGTGGGCCCATTTTCCCCTCTAGCGATCAGTCCTACATGCTTTGCAGACTTCAGAGCTATGAATAAAGAAATAAAAAATAGATTCCCCAGACCAAAAAAATGTGTGTACACCTTTTTAAAATATCGTTTAAGCATTTCATGATTATTGACATGATTTGAGGACTAATGTGCATATGATTATTTTGTATGTGGTATTATAATTTCAGTTGACAGATCTGTTTGTAGTTTTATTTTTATTGATGAAAAAATAGTTAACTTTTTCAATAAAATATATATTTGAGTTAGTATTTAATGTTAAGTATAAATATTGCTTTAAACATATGAATGTTCCTTACAAAGAAAGCAAGCTTAACACTTCCATGTGTTGCATTTAAAAAAAAAATTAACAAATTGTATTTTATATACACCAACCTGAAATCCTTTTAGGATAAATGCACAATTCAGAATGCATAAAATAAAGAAAGCAAGTCAATTACTATGTAGGAGAAGTAGTGAAAAACAGATATATTTATGTTACAGAAAGTATAAAACAGCCCTATAACAATATCTTCTATGTGTTAAAAAGTAATCACAGGGAACACTGAGGTTCACCTTTGCCATTAATGCAAGGGCAGAAGGCAGTGTAACAACAATTATTTAAGCTACTTGTAGAGAAAGAAGAGCCAGTTTGGTGTAGTGGTTAAGGCACTGGGCTAGAAACCGGGAGACCATGAGTTTTACTCCCACCTAGGCACAAAGCAGCTGGGTGACCTTGGGCCAGTCACTTTCTCTCAGCCCTAGGAAGAGACAATGGCAAACCACTTCTGGAAAACGTGCCAAGAAAACTGCAGGGGCTTGTCCAGGCAGTCGCCAGGAGTCAACACTGACTTGAAGGCACATACACACACACACAAAATAGAGAAAGTGCCCTTTATTTGCATTTCTGTAGAATAGAATGAATTGCCTTGGGAATACATATAGTCATCCCCAGAGGTATTAAGAGGAAGACTGAAAAATGTTAATCACTGTCACGAACTGATTCAAACTGTTCTGACCAGGGTATGAGCTCTCCAAGCAATAAAGCCACAGAGTTCTTGTTCCAGGCCCCCACTGAAAAGGGTATTACAAATAACAGCATGAATGGTACTATACGTGGCTGTGAAGAACATTTCTTCACACAGCTCTCTCTATGAATAAAAAAGAACACAATGTTCACTGCCTTTCTTGTTCATCAGTAAAAAATGAGCTGTAATTTTGATATATTATTTTATGCTCTTAGGATAGCCCTAAAATCATCAGGGAGAGTTCTAATGACTTCAGGAAGGTTAATTATTGCTGCTGCCTGCATGTTTAGTTTTGGCCATAGAAAGAATCATAAGCAAAAGAAATTACCGATGTATGAACATTGGTATTGACATTCAGATGCAGACTTGGCTGAGATAACTTGGCTGTATTTCTGCAATACTTTGTTGAGTGCTCAGAAACCACCAGGGGCGTCTGTGGGTGGGGACGGGTCGAAAAAGTCAGAGGGTAGTTATGCCATTCGATTGCAGCTGTCATGTTGACTTTTGTGACCCACCCCTCCACACCCCACCGACGCCCCTGGAAATGACAATTGGCCTAACATGTTGCAAATGGCTATCAACATGGACCAAAGGCCTTCCCATTTCTTTTCCTGCTCAGCTCAAAATGGGTAATAATTTCACAGCATGATTTCTGAAAGACATTTTCCCCTGAATCTGCCTGCTTAAAATCTTTCCTGAGGTTGCACTATTCCAGAAATACGGCTACATGGATTCAGAGCCGGGGTGTTTCCACAGGCTGTTTTGTAGACCTGGGATACCCTACAAAGAGGAACAGTCAAAGGATAAATGGTGATGTATTGTCGAAGGCTTTCACGGCTGGCATACGATGGCTGGTGTGGGTCTTCCGGGCTGTGTGGCCGTGGTCTTGAAGTTTTGT